TCGGGAGGGCTTCCTGGAGGAGGGGATGTTTGAGCTGAATCATAGAGATAGGAGGATGTAGCCCCGCAGTAGGGAGACAGTGTTCCTGACCAAGATGATACCAGCATGCCCCAAAATGGGTGGGAGAACAGCACGGTTTCAGGCAGAAAACACATATGAGGAACTATACTAGGTAAAGCAGAAGTGTGCAAAAGGGACCAAGACACAGCCTGGACGCAAGAAGCCTGCTTTTTAGAGGGAAAGCACATGGAGTTTAATTAAAGTTCGAGACCACCAAACCAAAGACTCCTGAACCATTATGCATGAAACATTACAGAAGCTCAGAAGCAGGAGAAGGCACGTGCAGCTTGGAAATTAACAAGGGGAAGTTACAGATAGGCCTTGAAGCACAGGGCAGATTCAAACAGAGGCAGAGCCTGACCACAGGCTTGCAAACCACACTATTCAAAATGTTCAACATTCCTCAGAGCTCTGTACTTTTTTTTTTTTTTTTTTTGCGGTACGCGGGCCTCTCACTGCTGTGGCCTCTCCCGTTGCGGAGCACAGGCTCAGCGGCCATGGCTCACGGGCCCAGCCGCTCCACGGCATGTGGGATCTTCCCGGACCGGGGCACAAACCCGCGTCCCCTGCACCGGCAGGCGGACTCTCAACCACTGCGGCACCAGGGAAGCCCTGTACTTCTTAAAGTGCTTTCACATTAAGCTCACCTGATACTCACAGCAAGTTGAGAAATAAGCAATTCCAGCATCTTCCTGAAGGTGATGGGGAAACTGAGCCGCAGACTGAGTGATCTTGGGTCACAGAACTACCGAGTCAGCGCAGAGGCTCAGACCCTCCCCAGCACCCACCCCATCCAAGGCTCTTTGTCACTCTTGCATGAATAAGAGAAGGGGACAAAGACCCATGCATTGCAGAGTAACTCTAACTTTCCTCCAGGGCTTCTGGGCAAGCCCAGGTCACCTCCACCCTTGTGTGGCAGCTCAGGAGTGAGAGGTCCTCTTAAAGATTGAGAAAACAAAATACATACTTGTTTAATATGTGTCTTCCCTGCATGATTACAAGCTCCAACAGGGCAAATACAACTTAGCAATTAAACTCAGTATCTGGGCCATTAAAGGGAGTGTGTTCAAATCTATTTCATGATTGAATGAGGATGAAGACGAGAACAAGTGAACCACACAGAGTGGAAAGGGGAAAGGGGAGAGAGGAGGTGGGGACGCAGGCCCGCCGGGGCATGGACACAGCCTTCTGACAGAAGCGAATCATCCAAAGCTCTCCTCACTGCCACCCTCACAAGCCTTCATGGCATTAAGCCCAGAGGGCGGGGGCGGGGCAGGGAAGAGATGCCAACATTTCCAACAAGTACAGTTGCTACT